TATATTTATTTATTTTTGTGATAATGTTGCTATTTAATGCCAATGTCAACGAAGACTATTCTCTTTATAAAAATTGCCTTTTGTATTCACACTGTGACACTTCTTTCAGGTAATAATTTATATTTAAGCATGGTAACTTAAACCTACTTTAAATGAGGAATATTATTGTAATGCTCCAAATCCAGGATTTGGAATCTAAAATTTTGCCCTAATCTTGAGTCTGGGACGTTACAAATGTTATCAAAGTGGAACCTCTCTAAGTAAGATGTGGCTCGAGGACAAACCAAGGCGAAAGCTAGTGGGTATATGACGCCCGAGTATAGAGAAGAGATATATTAATGAACCAATACCACATTCGAATGAAAGGAATCTTGAGATCATGGAAGTATGGTTAATAAATGTTTAAAAGAATGGATAGTTACTACCTATACTAACTAGGTGCACCTTACTTTTCGATAACTTAATTGTAAGAACTCCAAAATTAAGTATGCTTGACTTTGAGCAATTTTCGGTTGTGTGACCTCTTAATTGCTTTACTAGGAAGTATTTTGAGTGAGGACAAAGTAGAAGGTGTCTAGGAGAATGCCAGGACGATTAGGACCAGATTAGAGAGATACTTAAATCATAAATCGTGTTTATATGATTTGAAATTGGCCTTCGTCAAATTTATTTATAGTAAGTTACATATTTATTAATTCCACGAGAGACAAATCTATTTGTTTCGAAAACTACCCTTAACTTCAAACACCGACTTTTATAGATAGTATAAGCGGTAAAAGAGAGAGAAAAAAAAAGTGGTAATTCGAGTCTAGCTCAAACGAATAATGCACCTATTACATTTTGTAAGCTCTTAAGGTATCTTTACTCCTATGTGTTGTAGTTTAAAAAATTCTCCGCCATTTCTTTAGGTGATATTCTCCTCGGGAAAAAAAAATAGTTATGGATGTTAAATCACCAATCAACTCAAAAACTTAAATTAATATTTTATAGATATCTTGACACTTATTAATTATAATCTCAAAATTAAGTGAACTTTTGAAAATCCTTTTAGATCTAAGCTCGTGTTTGATGAACTCTAAGCCTTGCAAACTCAATTATCAAAAACTTCTATTCAAATCAGCCTTATTCATTCCCAATAAAGGGAGTTTTTTTATTTTTATTTTTGTAAAGTCTTTCTTCAGACAAATTGTCAATGTACATTTGAAATTCAAACTCTTCTTTAAGAAATGGGTAGAAAAAAGAGAGATAATTCCGTTGCAAATGAAGACAAAAGTGGAATTAAACTAAGGCTCTCGCGCGTGGTGGTCCACTAAATATAATATAATTCCATTCTTACCTTCCCCTACCTACATTCGTTTTTGAGTTATTTATTTATTTAATATTACTTTTAAGTTTTAACTATTTCAACTTTCTCGACATATACAAAGTGTTCAAATATTTATGATTACATTTTTATTTTGATTGCGACTACATTTAATACCATGTCAGAGACGGTATTATTAAAATTAACCACCAAGATACGAGGTAATTAATGCGCATTAACTGCCGGTAAAACTTTGAAGAGGTTTTTAATATTTATGGACTATGTTTAAAAGCGGTTCTGGTCTGGCACAACCAAACAAAGTGCTATTTGCTATGATAAGATACATTTTCCAAACAGATCATCTTTGGTTAGAATTTGGAAAAAGTCAAAATCACCCTCAAATATTTGGTTAAAAATGCTCGATTGCTTTTAACCCAACAATGAAACCACTTGTTATATGTGTATGTATCTATGCCAAATATACAAAATAGGCTATAAATAATTCCTCGATCATTAATTTATTCAATTTATCGATGTAACGTTAAATGTGTTAAAAACTTTCAATCTAAGTCATTTTGTAAAATAATTATTAAAGTTTAGATCGCTCACAGTAGTTCGACAAGATTCTAATATATCATCTGTAGCAAAACTATGGACAGGAAGTAGCAATTCAAATTTGTTGAGAAAAATTTGATCTAGAGACAACTCTCTCTAAGAAACTCGACAAAATGGTATTGTAACTTCAAGATCCATCGTTAAATTATTGTTTTAAAATTAATATATCGCTCGTGTATCGAATACATAGAATCTTACCTGTCCATCCTCAAAATCGATTTTTTAAAAAGTGATGTCCTTAACAATTTAACATGACATAATTTTTTGTAAACAAATTTAACAAGACATAATCAAGAATTTTCAATATATTAAAAAGTATAACTGATAATTTTTTTTAATTTAAAAAACAAATTAAAAGTTGTAAAAAAAAAGTTGTGGACGGTTTGATATATTTAGTGAGATATTTTTTATAAGAAGACTCCAAAACACGAGGTTATTATATTCAATAGTGTCACCAAATACTTAATTAAAAGTCAAAAAATGATTTTTCTTCTTCTTCTTATAATATGGTTATTAATAGCATCTGAGTTGGGTAATGTGAATGAACCCACAAAAATTTTACATGGGTGCAACTTGCTGAAACATGATTAAACTAACCCATAATTTAATCCAATCTAACCTAAACTCTTTGAATAAGGGCGAAGGAATTTTTTAGATCATCCAACTTTCTGCACATATGATTAATTAATTAAAGTTAAATAATTTATTGATGCATGATTCTAGACAGTGTGACGGGTCCATTTCAAATCTAAGGTAGATGTCCAATCAACCGAGGTGATGATCTACATACAGAACCTTGCACCGATGCACCGTTATAGTGTACTCGATCATACACACTCGAAGTCACTTCTTATATAGACTTGTGTATGAGGAATGAACCATGTCTTTTATAGGGAAGTTTGGAAAACGTGGAACTGCCATTTCATGTGTTAAGTATTTGATGTTTGGTATTTTTATATTTGTGGCATCCATGTTTGTCCGTTCTCATCTCATCTTCGACAGTCAAGTAACGCACTAGGTCCATGATTCAGGGCAGGATTTGAAATTCGAATTAGGCACCTAATTGCCTCGATGTTCCCCTACATCTTCTGTGACCTGACTGCACCATTGTCTTTATCTGAAATATTTAGAAGAGTGAAGACTGTCGCTCCAAATTAAGCACGCTTAACTTTGTAGTTCTTATGGATTGAGCCATCGAAAAGAAAAGTACATACAGGTAGTAACTATAAATATTTCTTATTTATGCTTCCATGATATCAGAATTCCTACTAGTTACCCCTCTCCTCTATTCAGGTGTCACATGCCAACCAATTTTCGTTTGGTTCGTCCCCGAACCACATCTTACCTGTGTTTCCAAGCGAGTAGTCAACTTTACGAGCTCTAATTCTACCTATAATAAGTTATCAGAGGAAATTAATAAAAGAAATGGCAAAAGAAGTAATGAAGGGTAGTTTTTGTAAAACGACAGGGCGAAGCAAACAGTAGGGGAATAATTAGGTTTGTGGGGGCGAGGGGTGGGTTTGGTTCAGAACTGGAAAGGCAAAGGAAAAAGCTGAGGAGATGGTTCGTTGGGTACCAAATAAAGTTAATTTAATGAACGCCTCAAAGCTTGCACAAGATGCTTCCTTCCCTTCCTTATCGGCCTTTGCGACTTCACCTCTACGACTCCTCACTTTTTCATTCTTTATCTGTTCTTTTTTAATTTCTCTCTACATACTACAATATAATATATAGTTTTCCATTTCATATTTCATTCGTTAAAGTTTGGATTTTGTGTTTCTAATTTTCTCTTTTGTTTTTTGAATTATCCGAGTGTGAGGGAGGGGCAAAGGGGGTAATTGCCCCTCCTAGGTGAATTTGTAAGCACAAACTAGCTCGCTCCCGTCACTCAATCAAGGCTATTGTTGGGTTCTCTCTCATGTGGGACCGTTTTAGTTAGATTTTACTCGCCTACACTAGTCGTGATTTAAAAAGCCTATATAAAATATCTAAGATTTTGTAGTTTTTCTCTAATTTGCCTCACCTAAATTTTCAAAATTAAAGTTGATATGTAAAATTTTGCTCATCTATGAGAAAATATATGACTTTGCCTATATTAGTACATCTCGATCTTGCAACAATGTCCTTGTTGCTTTTGAAAAATGAACCAAAATTGTTAGTTAAGCACTTTATTAGTTTTTTTTTATTGTTTAAATGTAATATGTGAGGGTGAGAATTTGAACTCACGACCTTTTGGTTGGAGATGTTGAGCTAAACTCATATTGACTATAGCACTTTGTTAGTTGAAGCTGCAATTGTTCATGAGCACGTACAATTGCCTTGAGATTTGGACTATTAGAAAAATTACAATTTGAGTTAAGTTGCTTATTAGTTGAGTTGTTGAGTTGTGTTGATGTGTGATCTTTTAAATTTGGTATTCGTTAATGATTTCTTTTATTTCTCATTTCCGACGGATTCGTAATCATTTTGATGTGTCAAATTTAAGCTAGTTTAGTGAATAAGGTACTTATTACTATCTTAAAAAAAACAATGGTTAAATCATCTACCTTCACAACTATTAAACTAAAAAAATTATTTTAATTTTAAAATAGATAATCAAATAAAAACAATAAAAATAGTTAAAAGTAAATGTACGAAATATTTAGGAAAAAAAAGGAATGGGCGTTTATTATTAACAAATGTCGTTGAGGTGATGGTCAGTTCTTATGTGTTTTCTTGACAACTAAATGTGGTAGAGTCAGTCGGTTGTTGGTGAGATTAATTGGAATATACATAAGCTGTCCGGATACTCATGGATGTCCATGAAAGGAAGGAAAAAAAAAGTTGAGCCATTTTTCAAAATAAACTCAAATTTCTCAGCTACTGCGAGTTATTGGGCTCTTGACCCACCCATGGATACGAGTTTGGGCTTATGGGTCGACAAAATATGCCAACCGGGCTGTTGCTATTTGATCCGCGAACTACAACCAAATAATGCCACGTGCCGCAAAGCTGCAATACCGTACGAGAGTTGACACCGTGAAGAAACGGCGCCACGGCATGTAAATCCCGTTCAGAATATTCGTACACTTCCGTCCCGTCCGTTTTCTCAGTTTTGTTCTACTGCTCACATTTCTCATTCTCTTCTCCTCTCTACGAAATTTCGCTTTTGTTTGTCTATCCATGATCTTACGAGAATTAGCTCTCCTTCTCGTGATCGTTTCCGATTCATTGCTGTAAAACTCGATCAGACTTCTGCGCCGACTGAATGGCGGTTCGTGATTCTCCACCCAGCTTGCTCTAGTGAAAACTCTCCCATCCATGGCTGCTCGGGGCGTCGATTTCAAGTGGTGAGTCCTCCACGCCCCGCTCTCTAATTCTGAATTGCTGTTTTAACATGCCGTCTACTTTGCTTCCAGACCAGTACTTCGTAGTCAACTTGATAGGTTTTAGACGCCGTATTTTGATTCTTGCAGGTATGACGGGTTTTTCTTGTCGATGCTCGCGACGAGCGTGTATCCTTCAGTGTTTTGGGGAATTTTAGAATTGTGTGTATGGGAGTCTTTGCAGTCTCTTAGAATGGCTTAGTGATGATTCGTGACTGATGCATGTACTTGCACGGAGTGCTTTTCCACTTATCGTGTTTCAGCGGTTTGAAGCTCGAGTGAATTTGCTCTTTAAGTTTCTTTGGTATTAAGAGTTAGAAACGACTGAATATATATATCTTATACTTTTTAATCTCGAGCAATATATTTCTGTTTCTTTAACTGTTTTGCTGGATAGAGTAATAGTTTCGATCAGTTGGAAGAGGTACCATACTTGTGTACATCCCTTACATATATGGATTGTGGTATGTTTTACTTAACTTTTAACAAGAATTAGATAGTATTACCATTTTGTTGTCTTCTCTAGTGATTTTATTTTATTTTATTTTTTGCTTCAATCAGTTCAATGACTCATGTTTTGGTACAGGTTGATTATACTACCGTCTTTGTTTTCCGCCTGCTGATGTTTGTTGACAATGGACTTGCTGCTGGAATGGGTTTGTAAGGCTTTCAACTTTTAATTTTACATTAATTTAGGGTATCAAAATCATACATTTCTTTTATTAATTCTCCATCAGCCAAAAACACCACAGAGATATTATGATGTCAGAAAATAAATTAAAATAGAAAAATGTTACGAAATGTCCTCAAATACATTTACTATGGGTGGTATGGGTTGAGCTTTAATGCAGTAATTCTTGAGGGAAAGATCAAAACAGATATGGATTCTGACATGCAAAGATTTGTTAACCTTGATCCCATGATCAGAAGTATGATGATGAAAGTTTGAAAAAGAAAAGAAAATAATTTCTGCTGTTGATTTAAAGACGTTATTCTGTGTTGTTTGCTAATTTTGTTTTATTCTTATGGGACTGTAATATGATGCTTCAGTCATTAATTTTCACTCTGGTTTGGGTAAAATTATTATAAATCTTATTCTATTTGGGAACTGGGATGCTGCACTTTTGCCATGCATGTAAATCATTTTTTTTTCTAGTAGGTCTTGACATATGACCTGATTTTTTTTTTACCCCTGGATTAATTATTTAGTAAATACATATATACATGTCTTCTTTTTATTCTGTTTTTTCCCCACCTTGCAATGGTAAAATATCGGTTCACTTTGTTTTAAATATGAGAAAGTTATGATCTTATATTTCTTCATTTTGGCTCTGATCTATCATCCAAGTGGACATTCTTACTTGCCAATACATTTTCCTCCTTTTATTTTTCTTTTTCCAAGATTTCTTGTATGGTCGATGCCAATTTTTATCTTCTGAATTTGTGTATCATTAGGGACTTTGGGTGGCAGCAGAGGTATGCTCGATTTTGTGGAAGAATTGCGGTCCTTTCAGTCCTTGCTCTTCTGCTATATCCATTTCTTTGGGCTTGGACTGGCATTGGTACTTTGTGGTTTATAGAAGCTAACAAATGTGTACGTTGTTTTTTTAATTTCAAATCCCATCGCCAACGTCAGAATCTTCATATTTCCATTATGTTTATGGAGCTATTGGTTTAAATGTGTCAGCTTCTTGAGCAAGGCCAGAAATGGGGGTTCCTAATTTGGTTACTTTTTAGCTACTGTGCACTCATATGCATTGCTTGCATGTTTTTGGGGAAGGTCAGTTCTATTATGTTTACTTTGTAGATTATTATTGGACTTTATTATGACTTACGTCAAATACTCTCCAGTAATTTGTAGCTTAGCTCTCAGTTAATTTAACATGCAACTCTTACATTTTTTTTTACGAGTTCTTATTGGAAATCCTCAAATGTTTTTCTACACTTGTATATGAAATTCATGTAATTATCTTTGAAACTTCCATGTAGTGGTTGACTCGTAGACAAGCACTCTTGTTACGGGCGCAACAAGGGATCCCTGTATCAGAATATGGGGTAAGCAATTCAGCTCTCTGCATTTTGATTGGAACTTAAAAGATGTGTTTCAACTTTCGTTATATGTCATCAATTTCTCTTAACTTATTTTCTTTTGAACTGGATTACAATCCAATCAAAGTCATTAATATATCTGTTCATACTGTTTTCTTTAGGGTTCTTTAGGTTCTATTCTAATTATTTTTTCAACACAGGTAGCTTCCACATTAGGATTGTTATGCGTTAATTGTTTAATAAACATCGATTTTTTTTTAAAAATTGTGCTCACTTACCTTTGGTGCTACATGTGATGAAACTGAATGAGGCAAAGATTTTTTTTATTACAGGTCTTGGTTGACATGATTCGAGTACCAGATTGGGCTTTTGAAGCGGCAGGACAAGAAACTAGGGTAATGGGCCAAGATGCTGCTGCATACCACCCCGGACTTTACTTGACTGCAGCTCAGGTAAGTTTATTAGGGCTTGAATTAACATTTCATCGTCAATATTCTTGGGCTTTCCTCAACACCCGTTGTCTGGTATTTGCATAAGAGCTATTTTGTGCTGTTTGTTCCATTTTTCCTATTAGTGGTTTTGCATATTGTTCCTTAGGAAGTTGAGGGAAGTTGATTGACATGAGGTAAGAGCATTGTGTATGTTGATCAACCTTAAAACTTTTTGTGAGAGATTTTGTATAAATCTTAAAGAATTGTATACTATGGGAAGCCATTTTGTGGGTTCGATTTTATGATTGAATCTTCCATTTTAAATTCTGATGGTCAATTTAGTCAATTGATGTTTGAACAGAGGGAAGCTGTGGAAGCACTTATTGAGGAACTTCCCAAATTCAGGTTAAAGGCTGTTCCAACAGATTGCAGTGAATGTCCTATCTGCTTAGAAGAGTTCCATGTAGGGAATGAGGTAATCGATATTTCATGCCTTACCATTTATACAAAAGAAGTCTGGAAAAGTTGTGGCTGTAAAAAAACTGTCGTTAATGTATAATTTGTAGTTTACTTCTTTTCATGCTCTTTTTGGACACTGAGCAAGGGGAAGTCGGAGGAATCATAGATTCATGCTCATACATACATGAAATTATTAACCTTTTGTTGGTGAATTATTGAAAATAATGTTGCGGGCATTGTTTGTCAATTGGTGCAGGTTCGTGGCCTCCCATGTGCGCATAATTTTCATGTAGGATGTATTGATGAGTGGCTTCGACTGAATGTGAAATGCCCTCGATGCCGTTGCTCGGTCTTCCCAAATCTTGACCTCAGTGCTCTGTCCAATATTCGCACTGATACTGATAGGCCATCTGCAAGCGTTATTACGGCCAATCGATATATGAGATCTCAACCTTCCAGCCAAAGTTACCTGGTGAGATTGCAGGGTCTGCTTAGACCCGTTCGAACAGAGAACACTAGTGCACACAGTGATTTAGAGACTGGTAGTGCTTTGGAAGGTGCTGAGAATGGGTCTGCCCATGACCAAACTATTTCAGAACGGTCTCTGTCTTTGAGTCAGTCCACTTCACAACTCTAGGTAGTTGGGATGTTTTTTCCCTTGGTGTTTTGACTGATTCTAACTGCTTCTGTAGAAGCTGAACGATAAGTGTCCACATCTAGCCATTTGCAAATGCCGGCAACTGTGTAATAGAAAAGCTCGAACGTTTGTTTCTTGTATTGAAGAAATCTACTCACTCACATTCTAGCAAAAACTCAATTTTCCTTTCTTCAAATTTAGCTGTATCATATTCATCAAAATTAATTTTAGACCTCAGTACTGCCATTCAGCCATCTTCGAAGAGACAAAGACCATGTTCTGGTTGCAGAGTCACGTTTTGCAAATCCACGTAGTACTTGCACTCAGCCATCTTTGCCAAACCCGAAGGTAACGGAGCGGCAATCATCTGGCGAGAAGAGGCATGGACTAGCACGAAAAGAGTTCGGGTTGAGGAATGGCCAGCGGAAATTGCTAGCCTCTGAATGCTTAGATGTTTTATCTTAACTTTCGCGATTTTTATCACTCAAAAAAGAAAAGGTTGGTGTTGATTGTTGATTGTTGATCATTGTTTCTCACTTCAATTTCTTGGTTGGCGCAGGTTTTTACTGTTGGAAACAAGACGAGGCCACCTCAAGGGGTAAAGAATACTCTGAACTTTATAAAAGAATATTTTTGAACTTGCGTTTTAAAACATTGAATTTTCCATTAAGTTGAAGAGGGCAAAAGCATGCGGCAGATAAGAGTGGTGTTATTAGAAAGTGAGATGATAATGTATGTTTTGCAGTATTAATTTTTATATGCTTGCTTTTTCAGGTGGGGTCCTAAATTATCGGAAAATATCCGATTTGGTGAGCGTGCTCCAGCAGAAATGTGGCAATGACAGAGTGGAGCAGCTCAACAAACAAACATGGTGACTGACATCGTCCCCCTAATTTTATTTTATTTTTGGCTAAATTACTACAAATATTCTTCTAACTTTGTCCTTTTCTTTAAAAAATATTCCTGTTCTTTTAAAAGTTTGAATACTTTAAAATACCCCTTTCGAAAAATATTTGGTAATATTTTGAACGAAATGTTCAAGCTTGTTTGGATTAAGTCTAAACAGGAGAAAAAACTGGAGAAACAAACTTTGTTGACCATGAGTAAATATATACATTGAAATGCTAGATTTAGATTTTCATCAATTGAGCTATGAAAATGATTAAAATATTCTTTTACTAAACTTATAAGAAGATTAAAATAAAAAAGGGATTTTAGAGATATTTAAAACTTTCTTGTCCCCTAATTATCTTGGTTTTATCTTGTCCATGGCTCTAGGTTATTGGAGAAACGAGAAAGTGACTGGTCTGGCTTCTGTGGCTCTCAATTTTGGCCACAACATCTACAAGGACCAGCACAGCCCCCACCATATGAACCATAAATTGCCTGTGAGAATGTCTATCCAAATCCAGGTCTGTCGGTCATTTTCGTATATTTAACTTTTGTTTCTCTCTACCAATTTTCAAATTAAAATTTTAACGTCTCACTCATTCACTTATGTGTATCAATTTATTCAACCACAACACACTTTTTTCAAAATTTCCCTGTTTAAACAGTTTTGTTGCATTAAAAAAAACCCCCATTTTTTAAAATTTGAAAATAGTTCTTTTTTGCAGTGTGAATTGAAGTATAATTCCAACCTGATAAAATGACCTCTTGCATTATATAATTTTATTTAAATACTGATATCTTGGGTTCAAAATAAATTCTACAAATTGATCTTGTATGGCTCAGAAATTGGAGTTGCCGACTGTTAATGTTTTGGTGAAGATTTTATTTCATTGGTTTGAATTGAATTCTATTTTATTTTAGTCCTCAAGCTTTTTAAATATGGTTTAAAGTCTTTTAATTTTGAGTTGACTTTGTTATACAACAGTTATTACTTTACCGAAATTGTTGTGACGGTGCAGGAGCAGGATATTCCATATTCGGGAGCTCAATAAATAAATGTATATTTTTTGCACCAAGTACCGAACTCCTTTTTAAGTATGATAAGACCTCTGACTAAAGGACCAATCAGAAAGTACGTAAAAAAAGATAAAAGATTAAAATATATATATATACATTCCAGATTTGAGGAACACTTGGTCGTTGAGTGGTGTTGAAAAATATCGTCGGAGGAAGAGAGAGAAGAAGGAAGAAGAAGAGTTAAAGAATGAAGAAGAAGATTGCTGCATCACTTGTAGAATCATGGAAGAAAAGATAATATAAATTAAATATAATTACTAATCAGCAAACCCAATTACATTACATATTAAGTGTCACGTTATTTATTTTGTTAGTCAAGTAACGCTCAAATGAATATTAGGCTTGAACTTTGAGACTAGAAGTATCTCTTTTTAAACTTCATCGATCAAATGAGCATTAGGTTTAAATCTTACGAACCAAAGTGTATTTTGCCCCTTAAATAGTTATTGGATAAGTGTGTGTTTGGGCCATTATGAAAGTCAATTAGAAAATTGATTTTAAGAAAGCTTTAAAATAAATTTAAATTAATTTTTAAGGTATTACTGAGTAGTGATTTTGAAAAATCAATTATACTTAAACCACTAGTTCTACCATCACTCTCAAAAATACCTTAATATTCAATTATTTAATTAGTTGAGATATATATATTTTTTATCTTGAATATTTGAATTGTTGTCTCGAGAGAGAACTCATTGGTGCCAAGCATGAGAGAACTCATTGAAGCGGTTAATCCCATGTATTCTCCCATGTATATTGTCTCTGGACTTCTGCCCCTCTTAGCAAAGAGCCAGAGAAACTTTCGAATTATGAATCAGGAATAGAATGAATGGACGATGCTACTGGAACTATAAATATATATATATATATATATATATATATATATATATATATATAAAATCACTCTTTTTCTTATCTATTCGATCGAAGGTTGCAAACATCATATTAATGATATCTTTTGTGTAATTAATGTATTAAATTACTCATTTCTAAAATTCATTCACTCAGTTGATTTTTGTGCTAAGGATACATATGTATTTTATTGTCATAATTTGACAATTTACTTTACAATATTTCACGCTATATCATTGAGAATTTTTTACCAGTTACCATTTGTATAGTTTTAGTTTTATGTAACCCTTCAAGAAAATGAATATTTTTTTAGATCATAAAAGAATGTATATTTTTGTAAGAGAAAAAAAGGCATATTTAACTTGAAAGCGACGATGAATTCGAAACAATATTATTAATAACAGTAGAAGACTTCGAAGTAGCTAATAACAAAGTATTGGTAGATCGGTCTTCAAAATTAGTATGGATTCAAAATTATCTAACTACCTTCTCACCTTATCATTTGAGATCGAGATATTAGACTCTTCACTATCTCATAATACCATTTATAATCATCTTAAGATAACTAGTCAGCTAGACAACACTTTTATTGAATAATCGAACTAGAAAGATGTTGGACTCAACCAAGATTATGAATGATATAAATCTCTATTGCCCTAATCAAACAAGATGAAACAGTGGGGTGGCAACACTAAAATAATAAAACAAACCAACCATAAAAAAGGGATGATTTTGATTCTTTATAAAAAAAAATTCCCTTTTTGGTCCGGTGTTAGCAATAGCATAGGATTAGCCATTAGGAGACTGCTTGTGTTGATGGGGGAACAATAATATAGGAAAGTGGAAACCCACAAATCTGATGGGCCTTCTTATTCTAATAGGCTAAAAAGTTATCCGAGGGAAGAGGATTCTATCCTTTCATCAATCTCTCAGCTTCTCTCTATCGTCTCCATCTCACTCCTACGGCAAAAAAGAAAAATCCAACGCAACCAGAAGAAGAAGAAGAAAGGAGAGACGAAACGGTGAAGATTTGTGATGGGGGTCGCCAATACCTCCTGGGTTGCCGGCCAAGCAATACCCATGCTCCAATTCAGTCCCTTTTGTTGCTTCGATTTATCCGCCAAGAAATCCAATGATTCGAGGCTGATTATGAGCTGGGGTTGCACTAATCAGGGCAAACTTTCAATTTCTTCATCCAGGAATTCCCGAAATTCGACTCTGTATTGTCGTTGCAGTGGAAATGGCAATATCAGCAATGGGAGTTGCAGTAATAGTAGTTCTCCTTCTTCCTTGGAATGGGATTGGACTCGGTGGAGCCGCTATTTCTCCGAAATGGAACAGGCCGAAAGTTTTGCTTCTGTGCTCAAGGTGCCCTGATCTTCTTTCATAATTTTCTCATTGGGATGATTGTCGATTTTGACTCTATTTACCGTTTTATCAACTGTGTTTTAGTTTGTTTGTTGGGTTCTGATTAGACTTGAGTTTAATTCTTCATAATGACAAATTTGGGGTCATAGGATTTTCTTCTCATCCTCTAATGTGATAGCTGAATCACTCTTCTTTTTCAGTTGTCTTTTCAACCGTTTTTTTCACTTGATTTGCTTTCCATACTCGTAATTGTCAACTGGGTAATTCGAACAAACACGTTTCTGGGTAGTAGTTTAAACAGTTAGTCTCTACATCTATGCTTCTTTTCTTTTCACTGCATTTCTTTTTGCAAGTGGTTTCTATGTTGAATTCTACTCCTTCGTCTAGTGGCAGTCTTCAGTATTTTTTCTCTTTCCTTTTCCAAATTACTTCTCGACGTATTCAATATTATACATCAACGAAGTGATAGAAATATTTACTTTGTTGGTCCTCACATATTTAGCTGGACTTTTACTAGTTATTGGCTCACGAGCTCTAGATATTGTGTAACAGTTTCAACTTGAAGAGGCCGTTGAGAAAGAAGATTTTGAAGAAGCTGCAAAGTTGAAACTGGCTATTGTTGAAACTACGCAAAAGGACAGTGTTGCTGAAATCATGTCCCAGTTAAAGGTCAAAACAAGATTTATATTGCTTACTAAGATTGTCAACTTTATGGTTACCTCTTAATGTAATTTCTTTATACATTTGCAGAGTGCAATAGAGGAGGAGCGATACCAAGATGCATCGATGTTGTGCAAATGCACAGGAAGTGGATTGGTAATTCTGCAGGGTTCTACCCTTAAACACGCTTATTTCCTGATCATCATCATCTTTATCTGCTGAATCAAGATGTTTTTTTTTTGGCGTATCTTCCTAAGTTTGTTGCCAATAACTACTGGAAGTTACTAATGAAGAATGAAACAGAAGTGGTTTCTTAGTTATCAACTTATCAGGAGAAAAACATTGAAAGTTTGGCACTTAATTTGAACCAGTTTACTGTCTCTCATAGCATTCTTAGATGAACGTTTGATTTTTCTTCTCACCATCTGATATAATTTCTATTAGAAATATCAATGTGTCCTTATTGGCCCCTTTCAATACCACGCTAGACCATGGCATGATATTTGCTGAAATCGAATATATTTACTTGTATATGAAATTTTGTACCATCATCTGAACCATTTTTGAGCAGGTGGGCTGGTGGGTGGGGTGCTCTCAAGATTCAGACGATCCCTTTGGCAGATTAATACGTATAACTCCTGGAGTTGGAAGATTTATTGGTAGGGGTTACAGTCCGAGGTAAGATCTTTGTCTCCCTGTGAAAACACCATTATTATTAAGGAAACACTCACAATTGTTGTTTGTCACAGGCAGTTGGTTACTGCATCGCCAGGAACTCCAATGTTTGAGATTTTTGTTGTCAAAGATGATGAAGAGAGATATGTCATGCAGGTGCCATACTGAATTCTCACTTGGAAAATATTGAATTTATGTGAAGATATTGAACTTTTAATCTGTCTTATGAGCCTTCTCATGTTATCTTTCACATTTCTGATCTGATTCTGGAAAAGTAATTTGCAGTATCTATGTGAAGCTTCTGTTTTAGCTTCAGAAACTGTTGGCTAACATTAAAGTTATCAGATAATTTGAGTGGTGTCTACACTAACACTAATGTTTTTTTTTTCAGTGTTAGTGTAGACACCACTAAATGTGCATATGTTGCCTACTTGGTCAAATTTAATCTTCGTTTCTGTGTTCAAATGAATAGAGCGTAAATAACTTGCAATGAGTTCTTGCTTTTACAAAATTGGAGCTCGAGGATTTTGATTGCTAAGGAGTTAAATTATGTTTAACCCATAGTGTAATGCTTAACCTCTATTTCTAATTTGATTTCTTTGGCTTTATTACATCATGAGGAACCAGATAACATTTTATTTTATTTGTTACATGAGCTAACAAAATACTACATTGATGTATAATATTAAGTAGGGGCTGATGCTATTATCTATTACCATGTATCTGACATCAAAAGTTAATGAGAGACTATTTCAATATGAATCTGTTGCAGGTAGTATACTTGCAAAGATCCAAAGGAAATTCAACAATCCCAACAAGTCCACCATCTGAACCTTCAAATAGCCCCTCCACATCTGGAGTTGAGAATCAAACTGCTGTAGAAATTCCAGAGAATGAAAGCAAGACAGAGCAGCAAAGTGAGGAGAAGGGCATTAATATGGAAGGAGCTACTGAGGAGGGAATAAAGGGTGTGATAAATTTTCTGAAAGACAAAATTCCAGGACTGAAAGTTAAAGTAATGAACATCAATGTTCCTGAGGAAGTCATAGAGGATGCTAACTCTGTCAAGCAGTTGATGCAAGAAGGTAACGAGAACACAGGGACTAGTGGGAATTCTGACAATGAAATTGATAAGTTAGATGACATTCAGCCTGAGGCAATTTCATTAGGAGAGAATAGCGATGCCAGTGATGATGAAAAGGATTTGGATATGAAGCTTTATATTGGTGGGGTTGTACATAACAGTGAAGAGACACCTACAAAGGACGAGTTTGTACGCCATCCAGCTTATATTAAGGATATGGATAGGGATTCTTTTGTGCTGCATATTCCTGGGAGAGGCCTAGATCTTGATGCTGCTGAAAATAAAGTCTCCAAGGTCAAAGTGGCAGCTTTAGCAGCCCAAGGTGTCTCTGAGCTTATGCCAGCAGACGTTGCCAAAGCATTTTGGGGCGTTGATAAGGTTTCTCCAAAGGTGAGGTGGATAATATTCAGTGCAGTGGGGTAGGACTTTTTTATTTTTAATATATTTTTTGAAAAAGGAAATAGAATAAGTTTCATAGATTGAATAATCTGACTAACATAAATCTTGGTGTAGACTTGGTGAGATTTCTAATCAAATAGTATGTTATGGTATTGTTATAGTTTTCAACTGTCTTGTTCTCTAGGAGGAGGGTAAATGTTAGAAGTTTCAAATTGATTACTTGATATAGGATATGGTATGTTTCTACATAATTTAGGGTTTTCTATCAAGGTAATTTCTTTTAATTGTAAAATCATGGAACCTCTTCATTTTAGGTTTCAAGGAATGTTCGTGAGATAGTCAAACTTGCTGTCAGTCAAGCACAGAAGCGGAGTAAACTATCTGAAAATACTACTTTCAATCGGATTACCACATCGAGAGGGGACCTCGATCCATTTGATGGTTAGTCTATCGTTCTTTTGTTTCCTTTCTTTTGTGCTTTAAAAATTAGTAGCACCCACATGTCTAGATGGTCAATGTGCTTGTTGTGTGGTCCAGGTCTCTATGTGGGTGCATTTGGCCCTTATGGCACTGAGGTGGTGCAGTTGAGGCGCAAATTCGGGCATTGGAATGATGTTGATGACGAGGACAAGACTTCAGATATGGAGTTCTTTGAGTATGTAGAGGCAGTAAAGCTGACTGGTGATCTTAATGTTCCTGCTGGCCAGGTCTAATTTGAATCTTATTTTTATGATTTTACTCGTTAAGTGCAAGCACAAGTTTTCTGTTTGCATGTGTTGACTAGTAATGGTGTTCTAGACCTGATGTTTTTCTAAATTCAGGTCACTTTTCGAGCTAAAATTGGGAGAGGAAATCGAATTTCCAACCGTGGGATGTATCCCGATGAACTGGGAGTGGTATATATCACATGTCCTTTCTACTTTCCTGTTTGCTAGTGAATTCTTTCCAGTTAGTAGTATTTGACTTCTAGTTAACTCTTGTCATAAGCATAATCGTCATCTTCTCTTGAGAAATTTTGTATTTGTATTTGTATTATGGACTTTACCAAAGTGTCATTCAGGGATTCAGAAGAATGCAAGAGGCCATTTGGGAATCATATTCATTTTTTTTTTAATAATTTTATTCTAACTAAAAAAAAAAAAAAAACAGCTTTGACAGGACATGTGTTTTCTTTGTTGTTTTCTAAGCTAACAACTCATATATTGAACATGGATAATATTTAATTAGTAGATGGAAATATAAGAATAAGAAATGCCATACCACATACTTGTATTTAGATTGGCTGACAAAAGAAAAACAGCTCAAAAAGATTAGTTTACAAAGATTTTCAAAAAATAACATTTAGAGAATACACACAAATAGTTTCTAACTAGTTTAAATTCAAAGAAGGCTTGTTGAGAGGCTTGTTACTTGGTGATTTTAAAGAAGGCTTGTTGAGAGGCTTTTTTTCCACACCTACATTAAATTTTGTTAATATCTTCTGTTCAGCCTGCTTTCTAGTCAGACTGATTCAAAAACCTTTTATACCCTATCCAGGTTGCGAGCTATAAGGGTCAAGGAAGAATAGCAGAATTTGGGTTCCGAAATCCACAGTGGGTTGATGGAGAACTTCTCCAACTAAATGGCAGGGTAATTCAACTCATAAGAATTTCACTAAGAACCTGATAGATTACTAGTATCCTATCAGTACATTTGATTCCACCTTCAATACTGCAGGGTATTGGGCCATATGTCAAAGGTGCAGATCTCGGGTTCCTCTATGTCGTTCCAGAGCAAAGTTTCCTTGTACTCTTCAACCGCTTGAAGTTACCAGAGTGATGCACGTCAATCTCTGCTTCACAACTAGGTTCAATTTCCACTTCGAATCACAAGAGTGGTAGTGCCTGCCTTGACAACAGAAAGAAAAGTAGATCTCTTCTAGCCTCCGTAACAAAAGGTTCGATTAAACACGACTCTTCCGGCTACGTATTTCCCACTGCTGTTTCTTCTTTACAGGCAAAATTTTGGTCTTTCATAATCTCTAGTTTATCTACTACTTTTTCCCCCTGAGGTATATATCATCAAATTTTGATACTTTTAGCATATAATGGGTGTGGATTCTGAAAGAGTTGCTGTGACTGTGAGTTTTCTCCTGTGGACGAGTTTGACATCTAGTCAATAATATGTGAATTTTCAGTGAACTTTTGAAACCACAGCCATATCTTCTTCTTCTTCTTCTTCTTCTTCTTCTTCTTCTTCCTCATGGATGTTAAATGAAAAAAGCACTCAACTTTTGCTTTGGGAAGCTTTTGAATTCATTGCTAAATTACAAGAGGAGGAGGGGGGTTTGTTTATGGAGAAAAGGTTAAAGTTGATTGGGAATGAAAAGTAGAGAGTAGGGTTAAAGCTAAAGAAGAAAAGGCATTGGTAGTGGTTCCTTTTTGTTGATCAGCAAGAAAAATGCTTACTGTCAAGAAGAGAGAGAGGAGAGAGAGAGAGAGATGCTTTTCTTGGGTGTGTTGAGAGTGTAAAGGGTGAAGTGGGTAAGTTAGAAAGGTCCACTACATAAGATTACAAAATGATGGCTTTCTTTATGTTGTGGTTGTGGTAGAGTGAGTTGTGGCTGTGTCTGCTTCTTCAAATGCTTTCAAAACTTTGATTGATGCCATGGACATGGAGAAGCAAATCAACAAGGGACAATAAGGTCTTTTTGGTGTTTCAAATTGGAATCTTTCTTTGCTTTTCTCTGCTTTCTATAGTTTTGCTCTTTTTGAACTTTTTGTTGCTGAAACTATAAAACTATATGTTTTGAAACAGGAGAGAAGGGAATTGCAGGTCGTCATTATTGTTGTGTCAAACCATCTTTACACCTTATATTATAATCAAACCCCCTTTGCAAATTAATGTCTAGCAAATCTTCTCTTAAATTTCAATCTCAACATAGCTCAATTGGTTAAGACACCTATCTCCGACTTAAAAGTCGCGATATCTAATTCTCACTTTTTTTTAGTACACATTAATTACCTCTTTTTTTAGCAAAAAATTCTTTTATTTAAAATTTAAGAAATAAGGTGAGTGAGATTTGAAACTCTTACCTTCTGGTTTATCAGCATGTTATACTCAGGTTGACAACAAAATAAATATTCTAAAGTTAGACAATTATTTCATAAGATAGCACAGATATTATGGATAAAGTAAAAAGTAAAATTGTATGTTGTTTATTATGTTCACCAAAATAGTTGTGTACGAGTTGCAATATCATCTTTGGTTTGAGAACTATTGACAACACAATCTTTGGTTTGAGAACTATTGACAACACAACATAGCTTGTAATTCTTTTTTTAGCATATGGAGGTGGGGAGATTTAATCTTTCAATGTTTAAGAAGATATGTAATACCGAGACCAGTGGACTATGCTCACATCACGAAAAAAAGAAAAGAGTATATTTTCGTTCTTCATTATTAGAAAACTTATGGTTCAAATGGTTGGTAATATGAAAATAGCAATACAAAAATAATGGATTCAACCAAATAGAGTTTATAATAGGAAATAATATTTTATTATTTTTTTTCAAAAAAATATATTTGTAAACTAACCATTGGTACCAACTAAATATTTAGTTTGATATAAAATAATATTACTTAATTTATTAACTTTATAAAATTCGTAAGAATTATTATTTTTACAATATTATAATCTGTTATATCTTGAACGTTTCACATTAATACAAATGAAATATTATTACATCTTATTTTTAGAATTTTCAATATTTAAATTACAAAATAAGAAAGCAGGACCCTAATTTCGTGGAATAAACGGCGTCGTAAAGAGGTAGAGGAAACAGCGCGCCAGATTCAATTTGACAAAAGTTTAGGGGTTTAAGATTAATAAAAAAAATAAATTGACACGGAATCGCAGCTCACTTTACTTTGTCGGAGAGACTCTAAAATACGGTAGCATCCACTATTCACAACCTTTTTCCCCAAATTACATTCCGCCACGTCAGATGAAGAAACCTTACGTGTAATCAGAGTCCTTCTGCTTATTCCAATCCCATACTCTGTGCCGCACTGGAATATATTCTCCACCGTAACTTTTGTAACCATTAATCAGATGGCGCCACGTGGCCCCCACCCGATTAAGCCCCAAAAATACGAAACGCGAACTTAGAAACGGGTCTCAGTAAAGTCCTTTACTCTTTCTTTTTCCCGACTTCCCAAACAGCCTTTTTTTTCTTCCTTAAATTTCAATTCTTCTTCTAAATCTTTCAATAAAATCCGTTGAAACTTGGAACGAAATGATTGAGACGAAATTGAAAACTCAGAGATCGAACGACTCGTCGTCTATGAGGAAGTCGTCGTCGAGAAATTCCGAGTCGTCGCTTCACAGTCATATGGAGTCTCCTCACTCGCCACTGCGGTTCCACTCGCCGCTCCGATCCGACGCCGGCGACCCTCCCGAGACGCCTCCTTATGCCTCTCCGGATACCTCCCCTGAGAAGCTGCCTGATAACTCTAAGGCGATTGTTGTGGTTGATGTTGTTGATAAGAGTACTCAGTTCTCGCCGCTTCCGTCTCCCTACGCCGACTCCAGGAAGCCGCCCGCGGAGAACGCCAACTTCCCGGCGGATAGGTCGACTTCGTCTAAGGTTATGTTTAATCGGGCAATGAGGGAGGAGGTGCCGCAGTCGGTGACGAAGGTGGGGCCGGCTGCGACTGGAGGAGTGGAGGGTGGTGGTGGTGGCGGCGGCGGGAGATCGCCGAAGCAAATGGCGCCGGCACCGAGGAGGTCGAAGGCTGATGCGTTAACGAAGGCGGCTTTAGGCTTTAGAGTGTGTGAAGTGGCAGTTTGTTTGATTTCTTTTTCGGTTATGGCGTCTGATAAGACTCAGGGTTGGAGCGGTGACTCCTTTGATCGTTACAAGGAATACAGGTTTTTTTCCTTTTGTTTTTACACAATTTTCTTGACGCCTAATGACTATGGCTTTTTTATCTTAAGGCTATTAAACTAGAGAATATTGCAAGTTGGAGTTGGTGTTGCTTCTGGCTGTTGTGGAATTTGTACATTTAATTTTGATAATTTGCTTCTGAATTGACAAAAAGTGTCGTTTGTTCAATTCCTTCGGTTTAATCTGTGTGGATGTAACTATTTTAGCTTGTTCAGTTTGCGTCAACTAAATTTGCATTGTTAATCTTAAACTTGTAGCATGATCAGTGGGACCTCATAGGGATTTTACCGGACCTATTAGTTTTCCATTATTTGGATACTATTAATTTCCTTCCAAGGAGTGTCAGGGCTTGAAATAGTCACTGTTATTAATGGTTTTGAGAGTCTTCTGTTTCTTGTGTGTACCTCATTGTCATCACATGAGTAGGTGCTTTAATTGTAGCTTCGATTTCAAGGTACGTCTTGATCATTCTAAATGACGAGTGCCATGTTAAAAAATGGAGGTGTCACCTTCGTTCCAACCCATTGATGGTAAAATTCTCAATGATCTCAACAATCCAAAAGAATTCTTTAGCTACACTATTCATTTCTGTCTGATCCACAACTTTTTGGTACATATTCTGACATGGAAACCTTTATTCCTTCCCAAGCCATTTGCTGCTTTGAGTTACAAGTTTTTGGTCCTCATGTTGATTTTTGGCATGATTTGAAGTGTGTGAACTTTGAAGGATTGTTGTGGAAGAAATTTCACTATCAGTGTTGTTGCATAATTTCCATGCCTTTTTGTGATCAGTCATGCATGACATTATTCTTAGCTTCCCTTGTATTGCAAGAATACATCAATTATCCGTGCTATAATGTGAGAACCGTACCTATATAGAATCTCATTTTAAATTATCTCTTCCTTTTGCACTTTTCTACTAGTTTATATGTTTTTCCCTGCCTTATATTATCTAATTAAGTCCATTTGTTAACAGGTACTGCCTCACTGTGAATGTAATTGCATTTATATATGCGGCATTTCAAGCGTTTGATCTTGTCTATACTCTAATCAAGAAAAAACATATGATACGTCATTATCTCCGCTATCACTTTGATTTCTTCGTGGATCAGGTTAGTTGGGCAAATATTGGCTCTGGATGAATATTGTTTAATAATATCTATAGCCATGTTTTCACTGCTCCAATGAATTAATGTGTTTCTACGGTTGTGGTTTGTTTAGTACAGTACTATAACCTGATGAATAGCAATTAGCATACTTGGGCTAGAAGAAACTCGCTGAATTTGTAATGTTGCTTGGAAGAACACATGCACTTAGAGTACTTTTTATGCTGTATAGATTGACTGAGGATCACTGAACTGAAATTAGAATAATCATTCGAGTGAAGATGAACTTGATTGCTGATCTCTTGTCTTCTCTAATGATTGATTGTGCGGAAGTGGATGTGGATGGTTCAAACTTCTGTCTAATTCAAATATCTAAATTACTAAATTACTGGGAGTAAATTATTGTAGCTGATCTGGTCATCAAGTCTTCTCCCTTCTTGAGTCGTAAATTGTAATTTCTTGATATCCGAGATTTGTTAGCTACTCTGTGGCTTAGGTTCTTCATCAACCGATGATGTAATCCTTGTTCTGTTGACTATATACTGGCAGGTACTAGCATATCTTCTCATATCATCGTCATCTTCGGCCGCCACCCGTGTGGACGACTGGCAATCGAATTGGGGAAAAGACGAGTTCACGCAGATGGCCACTGCATCGGTCAGCATGTCCTTCCTTGCCTTTGTTGCTTTTGCCTTTAGTTCGCTTATCTCTGGTTACAACCTTTGTACCCGTGATCCTGCGTGAAATTAAAATCTCAGCCATGTTCGTTTTTCCCTGCAAAGAGAAAATTTTATATTGTCAATCCAAAATTATTATGATTTTTTTTTTCTGATGTTGTACAGAGATATCATAGCTAGCTTTTGACCTTACAATAAAGAGGATACCAAATTGTAAAACGGTTGGGTTATTTTTATTGGATATTTTTTTTTGCATATAAATGAAGCTTCTATGCTCTTAAGCAGCAAATGGCCCCTATATAGAATGATAGAACATGAACATGGTTCATCATAAGCATTTATTTTCCAGCTTTTTGCAGTATTTCTTTTTCTTTTTCTTTTTTTATAATCCTTTTTCATGGTCAGCTTTTTAATTTATTTTTTTCTTTGGTTCACTAGAGGCATGATAGAGATTACAATTCTCTATGTTTTAAAAAGTGGGCAGTGTTACATATGCTATCCACCTGTCAAAGTGTCATCAATTTGTATTATAAAACTTCATCATGAAGAAAATAACGTTGAAACTTTTTTCCTCTCGGTGTCATGTCTTATATTATTAATTAATAAAGCACAGTCAAATAATTCAAACAAATAAAATCCAGATAATATAAAATATTATTCACTTTTTTTTTCCTCCAGATTTTTGTCATGTCTTTCTTATATTTTGTTTTTGGTTGTTGATTAAACTAACCTGATTTTTATTACATATCTTTGTAATTCCAAAAGAATGACCTTGAATTGAGATTTTTTGGGTCGACTTTAATATAACTAATATTTGTAACTTTTTAGAAGAAAATAAAATGAGGTTTTGTGTTCTAGTATAAAACTATATGCGTGTATATTCCTCATTTGGTCGTAATTTTATATCCTAATTACAATTTACAATAATTGTTTGGCCCTTGAATTATAAATAAAATTTAATTATGCCCTAAAAATAAGGAAATCTTCAAATATGTTCTTCAACAGATTGTTCCAAAAATGTCTATAAAGTTTTGAATGAAATGTATTGCAGTATCCATCCGTACAATCTATAAAATACAAAACAATGTAATAATTTTACCGTAAGGTATAATTAAAAATAGATTTTAATAATTATTAAGAGATTCGATTTTCAACAAGACAGTTTGGCCGAGTGGTCTAAGGCGCCAGATTTAGGCTCTGGTCCGAAAGGGCGTGGGTTCAAATCCCACAGCTGTCACAAGTTTTGGAATTAATTTTGTTATTCTTACCGGCCCAATGGAATGATAGCCCATTACGAAAGGCCCTTCGAGATTGGGCTCATATTGGGCCCAAAGAAACCCTCTCATAATTTGGGACGCCGACAAGAGGAGAGAGAGAAGACGACAGCTGCGCTGGCCCATGAGCCGTCCCATACTCTGCTCCACGATTTGTCAAATCGGTCTCCCTCACCTCACCCAATCTTTTCCCTCATGTACACGTCGCTTCTCTTCTTAGGAATTTTTTTTCTTTTTTTTTTCCGCTCTTGATCAAATCACATATCTTTTATAATATTACTATAGATTATAACGTAGAGAAATTATGCTATCTGTACCTTCATTATATTTAAAAATATTTAAATCATAACTTAATTTTGTATGGCTCATAGTTCTTTTTTAATATGTTGGTGAGATTCAAAGCTACGAAAATATATATTTTATATGTGAGTTTATTTGTTTCATGTTACGGGTTTTTTAATCTTGTAGGTTAAAATAAATGAAAACTTGTAAAATATGCTCTCTCCCATGCATATATTAGTATTTACAATTCAATAAATCTACGTAAAACATCAAAGAAATTACAATATGTGAAAGTGGAGATTTGTACCGTGTTGACTAGTTGAACTATACTCAAGTTGACAATTACAAAAAAACTGAAATCTTTTAACGTTAACTTATTAAATTAACTCGTCAAATATCTCTCTTATTTTAAATCTTAAAAAACATATTGGCCACAACAAAATTGTTGATGTCTCAATATTTAATTTTATATATCTTTTAACTAGAAAACAACTTTCACTTACCAATACCAATATTATCACAACTTAGCGATAAAAATATATAATTCATTCTCGTGCAATCAGGAGTTTAAAATCTCTCATCCTATATTTATCATACTAAAAGAAATTATTTAGCAAGATTACCATAGATTTAAATTACAATGTTGGTACCCGAATTATGAAGGAATAATAAGTTCCTAGGTTATAAGAAGTTCCTAAAAATGCATTTCAATTTTTTATGTCGTGTATAATTAATTTTAAAATAATAAGTCTCATAACTTTCAAACTTTTATCTAATAGGTTTTTTATTAAAAAAAAAACTAAGTCTTATCAATTTCTATCTTTCTCGTGGCTACTACTAAAAAATTTGACAATGGATCGACAAAAAATAAATTTTACGGATCAGTGCTCAAACATCGTTCTATGTTAGATACACTCTACAAAATCAAATAATATTATAAGTTATGTGATATTATATGATTCTTCATTCCAATTAAAATTTTACCTTTTCAACCAAAACAGAAAAAGGAGAAAAAAGACAACCAATTGTACCACCAAACCAAACACAAAGCCAGATGACTTTCTTTGGACAGATTTAGCTGTAAAAAAAGGAAAAAAAGAAAGAAAAAAAAAAGCACTTTTCATTTTAGAAACCTCTCTATATTTTTATATTAAAAGGCTGTCACCAAAACTTCAGTTTCCCATTTGGACACGTGGCCCAATCATTGCAACGATTTGTTTATCTCTTCCACTTCTTTAAAGGCAGTTTAATAATAGTACATTTTCCCTAAATTAATATTTGGAATTTCTTCTTTTTTTCTTTTTTCCCTTGGGTAAGAGTTATTAAATATTAAATACATGTTGCTTCAAAAAAGAAAAAAACAACTAACATTTATTTCATGATTGCCAACTACATGCCATAGAGGCTTTTTGAAAAGTGTTCATGAGATCTTATTTCCAGAATTACCCTTCTCTTTTCAATATTTGAATTATACTTGATTTATGTATTATGGCATGAAATTATTCTTCAATCACAAAGCATAATTAATGTAAAAAAAAAAATCACAAAGCATAATTTAACATCTTTTTAGAGTCGGAAATTATTTTTGTGGTTTTAATTTAGTTTTAATTTTAATTTGATTCTTATACTTTTTAAAATTTCATTAGGATTCATATTATCAATTAGATTAAAATTAATAAAGCTAAACCGTAAATGATTTACTTCTTTTTTTGAGATTGGAGATGGAAAAAAAATCCAAATTTTCATAACCGACATATTTGTTGTACTAAAAAAATTATAAAATTAAAATTCACCCAATATTCACATCAATAATAGAAAATTACTATAAATTCAAAGTGATTACAACAATTGGATAAGAAAAAAAAAACTAAATGTTCCAATGTATGAATGCTCATAATTTTAACCTTTTACAAGTACAACATAATTGAATAATTATTGAATCATGTTCAAGAACTAACTCAATAATGTCTTAATAACCCCTAAAAGTATTGAATAATGGCAAATAAAGTACAATAACTAGTATCTTATTACTTTAATGAAATGTGTGAATTATTAATAAATTATCAATTAAATTGTACTTTTTGAAAGGTCGTGTGAGAAGGTAAATAATGAGGGAGAATTTTGGAATTAGGTGGATAGGATAGGACCACTCTAACCTATTTACTTGCCTCACGTGTATGGGGGAGTGGGTGATATCTATTCATTTCTGTACTCGTGTGGAGCCCACGTACGCCCTCGAAAGTGATAACACAAGCGTGGACAATGTTGCTCGATAAATTACAAGTTTAATCATTCAACTTTTGATATGATATCGATGACTATCTTCGCACACTTTTGTTGCTTGTTAGGAAGCATATGCCTTGCACAAACTACCCAATTTTGTAGTGTCATGCCTTTGGAAAACTAGGTGTAGTAGTTAGGCATTATTAGCAAAAGAGTAATCTTTCGAGATTGGTTGTTGTATGTCACCACCTCTCAACTATCCCACACATTTGATAAGATTGTTTGTGCAAAGCAATAGTTAAAGTGCATTGGGTTTTACGGTCTAGTTGTTAATACTCCTTATCTTCTCGGAGAATTCAAATTCATCGAGTTCATGCTACAGACAACAAGCAGTTAAGTTTCTAAACTTTAAAAAGTGTTTAATACGACTCTAAACTTTTAATTTGTCTTCTTCGTCGAGTTCAAAGTGTTCCTTTGGTATTTAATTTTGTATTTGTAATAGTTTCATAACTTATTCATCATTTTTTTTAATTTATGGATTTATTAGATAGAAAATTGAATTGTATCTAATAAGGTCTAACCATTCAGTATCGTATCTAATAGATTGGCGAATTTTATAAAATGTTTATACAAAATTGAAGGTTTAGGGACCAATTCTAAATCTAAAGCTATAAATATAAGTTAGTTAATAACAATGTAATTGGTACGAGAGATTGCGAGGGATTTGTTAGGGGATGTTTACATATTACCTTCTATGTGGAGAGCTCACTGACATTATTTAAAAAGAAAAAAGTCAGAGTTATATTTTTAGTTTATATAATTTAATCACACTATTTAATCGATGCATTTCTTAAATTTTAAGTATTTACAATTTTTTTTTTCGACAACATGTGAGGGTGAGAATTCGAATTTTTTCAATCTTTTAATCCTAATTAATTGATGAACATATCTTGAAAAATTACAGAAATTCAATTGACCAATATAAGAGTGGTAAGATTTAGCCAGTATTACTAAAGCGAGTATAGCTCACTAGTAATATGACGGTATCTAATAAATCTTATTTTATAATAACGTATTAAACTTGTAGGTTCTGTTACTAACAATCAAAGCACCGCAGTTCTAGTAGTTAAAATACTTCTGTCTTCCATAACTTTTACTTTCTTATTTATGATATCATATTTATATATAAAAAATGTCTAATTGAAAAAAACAAAATCATATTTTAGATTTTTTCAAAAAGAAAAAAAAAATCTCTTATTTATCAAATGCACACATAATTGTGCGTGTTAAATATTATTTGAGATTGATACGGATATTAAAATTTTACGAATTTTTTAATAAATTATTTGAGATGGTGTAACTATAAGGTAGGAGAAACACTTTTTCTCTTTTTTCTTTTTACATTTTTGAGTAATTATTTATCGAGAGCTTAAATTCTAAATTAATAATTTTTCTATGGAAAGCAAAAAAACCATCCTAACACACTATTACAAGATTTAAAAAAGAAAGAAGAAAAAAAAACTTATTGAGGAAGTTTACAAGGAAGGAAGGATGTAAACTTCATGACCGTGACACGCTGTCCGTCCGCATAGAACGACATTCCCATTTCCCCCATCAACCCTTCAAATTCACGACAAGCAAACTAAACTTTACTGTAAAAATAAAATTTTGAAGAGGACATGAACGTCATTGCTGCAATGTGTGAAGGGCAGAACCGTCCTTTCGCCCCCGCACGATGCCGATGCCACGTTGAATTCTTCTCATTCTCCAGCGGAGACAGCAGAAGAACGGAATGTGTAATAATATAAAAGAGCCTTTTTCAAACGCACAAAAAGGGAAGAATGCGAAATCGGCAGTTGCAGGCCGCGCCGGTGGGAGAGAGGTCGCGCTCTCGCTGAGCTCTTTCTTCGCACGCCGCCCCGGTGGGCGACGGGTCTCGCTCACATCACCACTTCCACTTTCCCCCCATTTAGCTTTCTTCTCATTTCTCCTTCATTTTCTCCTCCGCATCCGATTGCCCAATTCCCCATTTTCCCCCAAAATTCCACCCTCTTGTCTTCTTCGCCATCTTGGTCCTTTTATGTGCCACCACCCCACCAATAAAACACCCCCAATTTTCCTTTATCTCTGTTTCTATATATGTATTCCTCTCTCGCTCTCTGATATTTTACCCGGAGAACGCAATCGTTAGGTGTTTCTTCTTCATGGGATCCTTTTGAGGTGCGGATTTTGTTTATGTTTATGGGTATTGCTTGATCTGTTTCGGTTTTCTTCAACTACCCAATTTTAATGGCATTGAATTGATTGATTGTTTGTTTGTCGTTTGATTGCATTTATTGCCTGCAAGCTGTTTGTGGGTTGGTTTTAATTAAAAAAGTTAATGATTATAAGTCTTTTGTTTGTTGGGTGGATTTGTTTTCGATAATTGCGCATCGAATTTGGATGAGTGGATCCCTATTCCCTGTTCTATTTGTTCTTTCGG